AAAAAAAGGAAGTGGTATAGGATTAAGTCTCCCTCCCCTTTCCACTCCAAGTAAAGAAAACCAGGGAAGATTAGAAAGCTGTAAGGAAGACAGACAAGCAAGAGACAGGCAGAGGTTAAAAAGCAAAGCTGCGTGCACAGCTCTGGGTGGTGCCCCTATCCACACCAGTAAGGGAATGTCCACCTGAGCCATCACAGCAGAACTGGGCTGGCAAGCCATTCCTTATCAATGAGAGTGAGAGATTCCACACACAGTTCATCTGAAAGAATAAATATGTGCCTCACATTTTACCTCTCTGCTTTGACACTCTACTGAGATGTTAGATGCTCCTACACGTTCAAGCTGCCCTTCCATCCCAACATGTGAATACAGGAAGCTCTGGCATCCAGAGGAGGAGACAGTGATCCCACACAGGCAGGGAACTTCTCCTTTGTCACATGGGCTGGAGCTTCCTGCACACAGACAAGCAGGCACACCAAGGTGAGCAACTACAGCTTGAACGTTCAAGTGACACCAACCAACTGAACATGTCTGTCTCTACAGCAGACCAAGCCTGAGCTCACAACAGCCAAAGCTGAACCACATAGGCCCTGTCAGAGGCCTACAGGCATGCTCACACTGCATCATGCTCTGCGCAATTTTAGGGAAGCTAGACTCAGAGAGGAATCTCTGGCAATGGAGGTAGGCTGAATAATACACTCCTGGTGAGAGAAGGAAGAATGCTTTCGAGCGCAAAATGCACTCAGCAGCTTTTTTCCACCTCTGCCTCCTCTGATCCTGTCACTGGCCACAAAACATTCTGTTTCACATCCGTATTTTTCTGGGAATGGCATAACACAAAGAGACGTCCCATAGTATTACAAGGTCATGAAAAAAAAAAGAGTAAGAAAAAAATGCATTGCCTGCTTGTTCCTCCATCTAACCATAGCCAAACATTAACAACCGATTGTTCCTTTGTAGATAGTTGGCTGTTTCCAGTCCTGACGTGTAATTGCTTTCTGGTCCCCACCCGACAAAGCACAGTGTGAAAGGATGTACACATGAAAGCTAGGGTAAATTCAAAAACATCAGTCCCAGGCTGCAAGGGAGCTGAATTCAATATCAGCAAAACATACAGGAAAGGACAATGTATAATGGAAGTGGAGGGGGATGGAGGGGGGAGTGTGCAGGGGGAGGCGATAATGTAAACATTCACGCATGAAAATATTAGATTATTCTTGTTGCACAGTGACTTGAATTCCAAGTATTTATGTGGTCATTTCCATTTCTTTTCCCAAGAGGGTGCTGCGACTGGCATGGCTGTCAGAGGAGTGTGAGAAGATGCCAGCACAGGCAAGCAGTTTCCAAGGCAGAACTACAGCAATGCCTGATATTGTATTAATGTGAGTGCTGGCCATCTGGCCATTAGGGACAAGCTGCTGCCAGGGTGTCTCTCTTTTTCCATCTCATTTCAGAAGCTCTGGAGCCTGGGACTGAGACCCCTAGGGAGATTCTGGCTAAAGATCATTCCAGCATCCACTCAGATGTTGTAGAGAAAGGGCCAGAGAGCTGATAAGGCAGGATAATGTGCTCACACCCACACAGAAAAAAACAACGGAGAATAACACTGATGGGGGGGGGGGCTAGAGGCAGAAAGAAAATGAGAGCAGATGAACAAGGGAATGGTTTAAACAAATAAGAGGGAGGAAGCAGGCAAAGGAAAAAGAAAACAAGAGGCACAGCACTGCTTAAAGGAGGCCTTAAAAGGAGGTGAGAGGAACAGAGAAGAAAAGGAGTAGAAAGGGTTCAATAAGGAGAAATGGCTATCATTAAAGAGGCAGGGGTTATGAAAGGACTAGTAGCACAATGCACCTTTTCGGTTTTAACTACTCAGGGCTAAAGTAAGGGCTTTGAGTTCGCCCTCTTGAATAGTACCTTGTCCCAGGAGCCTGCTGAAGTCAGTGCTCAGCGAAAGGGATTAGGGAGCACGGGTAAAGGTGCCAAAACTTTGCCTTGTCAAAATAAATGCTCTCCCTTATGCTTGTTTATCTATTTTTTAATGCCCACTGGAGATGCTTAGACTAATCCCTTGGATTTTTTTTAACGTACAGAAAGCTTAATACAAAGTTAATAGTCACCACTTTATAGCAATATGGAAGATTACATTCGTGGAAATGTCAGCAGCTTTACCAGATTGCTGCTAAATCAGCAAACTGAAAGGAAGAAATGAGGGCACTCAGCTTTTCTGTAAAAGAAAGCAAAACATCTGCCTACAATATAAATCTCATCTAATGGGTGAGGAAGTGGCATGGAAGAGCGAGAGTACTAAAATGACAGCCTGTGAAGCCTAGCTTCCTTCAAAAGCTGCTCAAGAATCAGTGTTATAGTGTGATTTCCTGAGTATATTACTGAAAAGTCGGCATCATACGCAACTGTTATTTCTGTTGCTGTTATTATTATACCACTGTTATTTGGATCCATATCCTCCAAGAGGATCTGAGGGCGGATCTGGAAGTCTGAAAACAGGATCCCTTCTGAGATTTCCCATACTTCCTCATTTTACCTAAAGTTTGTCTGATGACATTTAAGGGATGCCTTTCATGAAGATGTTTCTGGCATGAAAGCCGGGGCATTAACTCCACACTGAGGAACCTAAATACATGTCTGGGTCAGGCCATACTGGGGGAGAGGAATATGAACTGCACCACTGCACAAAGGAAGTGCAGGTTTGGGTAGTGAGTCTGGTGTGGATCTCACAGCTAGGACTTACCGGTAGCTTCAGAGAAGGAGGATTGCAAGAACCTTTCCGTAATGGGATCTGCAGGGCCTCACCTTTCACATCAGCAACTTGTGCCACATGGAAGAGGACTAATCCTTACTAAAATGAGTGCAGAGAGGCAACCCACTACGAGATGATTTCAGAAAAAAAATAATTGACAGCATTTGGTATGGATATGGTATGGATATTTGGTATGGCTGTGTTTGTGTACATGACATTTACTTGAATTTAGAGCAATAGAAATACTTGATGTCCATTGTTAATTAAAACCAAACCCAATTAAGTACTAGTATAGTATTACCCTGGAGCTAAACTAGTGCAACTAGGACCAAACCTGAGGTTAGGTTACTGCAAACCCTCCTATGCAAGTCATTCTTGTTCACCAGAGCAACCCACTTACTTGTGATTACTTGCACAACTTCCCCTAATTGAAGCAGCAGAGCAGCACATCCTTAATGAATAATAAGATGTTTTTCTGGATCTTTTGGAGTATGGAGTGGGGTTTTTTACATTCAATTAGACATTCCTACCATAGCTTCCCTGTAGCAGATGTGATGGTTGTTGGCAGTGGGCATGGGGCTGTGAGGGACAATGCTGCAGAGCTGCAGAGCTGCAAAGCTGAGGCTGGTAGCTGATCAGGTTACCTCTCAAAGGCAGCCAAGAGCCCCTGTCCCAGGGGAGGCAGCTTTAGAGGAAGGCGGCTTGACAAAGAACCTCAAACAATGCTGAAGAGGGGAAGTAGGATGGCCAGAAACCTACTTGTGTCCATGGAGCACAGCTATGTGCTGTATCATACAGGGGAAACGGGGTTTCTCCAGTGAAACCATGTCACAACACACTTATTCTAACAATTTGTTCTGTGCTCATTTCTTTAAAACAGATTTTCCAGCCACCTACACAGATTTCAGTGGGGAAAAAAAAAAAAAAATCTGCAGGAAGCATACTGATCATTGCATTCATTCCCATTAAAATGCTCATCTAACTTTAGAGTGCATTCACAGGGATAGCCCCCTCACTAAAACACTGAGGGATGATCTTGGTCGTCAGTCTTCAGTAGGCACAGAAAATGAAATATTTCAGAGAGAGATAAACTGACTGAAATGAACTGAAATAAAACCAATCTGAATGTCTTCACTTTCTTGGAGTATTTTTAATGCTGCAGAGTGAGTGCCTTAGCTCCCTTTATCTTATACTTTATTAGCCAAAGTGAAATTGATAGCACTCATAAAGATTTTATATCTTTTTAATGTCCATAATTACTTCTGTGAAAAATTGTCCTGGCTGGGAGAAAGCCTCCTGTAGGAAGATACATGGTAGGAAGAAGAAAAATCCTCTGTCTCCCACAAAAAGAAGGACAACATGACATCAAAGGTTTTCTTCACGTCTAGTTTCTAAGATTCAATCTATCCACTTTACATTTGTCAAGCGGAAGTGACCAAAACTTGGGAAAATTATTTTACTAAATAGGAATGCAAATCGAAACTAGGTTGGGTTTACAGAATTTTCAGTAGACACCTTCTAGCTCATTTTGCTAGGATATTTTTCAGATATTCTTTTTTGTATCAAAATTTTTAAGAAAGTTTTTAGCTGAAGGTAGATTTTTATAATTCCAAATTAAAAAAAAAAGTTGGATGAAAAGTTATTTTTGACTGAGAAAACCCATTATGCTTGATCTAAAAAAAATCAATTACAGTTCTGGTAAGAAATACTGGAGAAGAATCTTGCAGCCAGACCATTCTGACAATGACATGGGGTTTTCATCATGTTTAAAAAGCTTTGAAAATAAAAATATCTAGCCTGAGAATCAGAAAAATTGCTTTCTAAGACTAGCTTCTTCAATTCTTACCTTCATGCAAGAACGTAACAGCTCCAATGTGGCCATGCTTTCTTTCTCTATTGTTTGAAACAACCATGGATTAGAAAACAGTGCCTTGTGAGGGAGGGATGTGAGTTATTAATCAAGTATCACTGTTTGTATTCTCTCACTGTATTAAATCACAGGCACCCAGGAAGCTATTTCATCTGTTGACATCTAAGTGGAATGATAGAAAAAATAAGTCAGTGCAGAAGGCTAGGACAAAGACCTATGCAGCTAATGGAGTGCAACCCTTGCACATGGTGGCTGAGGAGGAATCAAGTGGCAGGGGTACGCAGTTCTGTATCCTCTGCACAGGGCTGGACTTCACTTCTGGCAACAGAGGCAACAGGGAAAGGCCAGGTGGTACTCACCAGGGTTCCTTGCGCCCCCACCTGCACAGGTGAATGCATGGTGCTTCTGTTCCTTCTGAGGCCATCAGGCAGCCACTACTGCTCTGTGGCAGCAGTCACTCAGCTGGGGCACAGATACTGTTGTTTGTTTTGCCAGGAGTCCGTCTTTTTGCATCTGTGGGGGAAACAGCTCTCTCTTGCCTCACCTGCTTGAGACAGCAAAGAGAATTAGCAGAAGAAAGAATAGAAGTGAGATGGAGACAAATTGTGGGAAAATAGACCAGGATCCAGCCAGGACCTGCTAAAATACCAGTGGGCAATGGAAGTTTTGCAGAGCAGCCCTAAAAGTGGTTTTAAGACCTTATCAGTGTGGTCCTGCAATCTTGGCTGGACACAGAAGATATGACACAGAAAGCAGTGACAAAGCTCTCCACAAAGTCAGTTGCATTAGGTCAGGTCCACAGCACAGGTGAAAGCTGAGGATCATTCTGCAGGAAAACACAAGCCTCTATGTAACAGCTAGTGTTGAAGCCAGCTTTACAGTATCTACACCCCATGATTATGATATTCCCTAAATAATTGACTACACCTACTGCTTGGGATTTTATTTTACCCAGTGCTGTGAAGGCAGAAAAACTATGCACTTTGAAGGATTTGTTTGGAAATAATATAATTCACATTCAAAAAAAAAATCAAGCCCAGTGCAAACATTTGCAAATAAATATGACCTTCTTCATAAAATGCACTTTAACATTACAGCCCAACCTTGGCAAGTCCCGAAAGACTGAGTTCTTAAAAAACTAAAGGTTCTCATTACCTTTCAGGACCAGCCCTTAACCTCGGTCTCTACTCAATGTCCATATGGAACTTTCTTCCCTTTTAGGCTTATTTTTGTTTTTAACCAAGAGCCAATTAGACAGATTTTGAATGAGGCTGGAGCACTTTTTGTTCAAATGAGAAATTTTAGTCCCTTGAAGTATAATGGTTTTTCAATAGAAATCCTCTCCTGCTGTGCATTGATCAGCTATTGATTGGTGAGGGTTTAAACCAAATCATCACTGCCAAATAAAAGACATTCAGGATGAAGGAACTGAGCTGAGCACAGTGTTATATGAAAAGTAAGCCAATCCTTTGTGGTGGAATCGAAAGGCCCTGGTCACTCTTGAAGAAAAAAAATGTTAATTGAAAAATTCCTTAAATAGGTAACAGCTCTGAAAGTCTGCTTTACATAAAAGATATGAAATCACAATCAGCCAACAGGGAGAAAAGGATCCTGCAGCTCAAGTGGTTTTTCTCTCTAAATGGTGCTGATTACTTTCCCATTCATGGATGACATGGAGTGATGGAAATTAGTCATTTCAGAAGAAAAGACTAATGACAGCTGAATTTGTGGGCACTGGGGGAAGTTTGACGATTGGCTCCTTGAGACAGAAAGTTAAAACAAATGAACTTCCTATTGGGTGGAAAGATTTATCCCAAACCTAGCAGGAAAACAGATACACAAACTTGATTGGGCTTTGAAAGATCCAGTGTTTTTCATTTCTGCTCTCACTAGCAATAGCAAGGGTTTTGAACTTTGTTGGAAGAACAATGAAGGAGAAATGTGATGATTACACAAAATTGGCTAGTCATAAGAAATAAGTTCCCAAACAAGTCTTTTCCTTTACAATTTGGAAATTAACAGAATGCTGTTAAGACTGATCGTCTTAGGCAGGTGTGGGAGGTGGAAGCTCCACCGAGCTGTTGGAATTCCAACCAAAGATCCACAGAGGCATTAAAAAGCTTTTGGTAGCCTCCATATAAGTTAAAAGAGATGTCAGTATTCTTAAGGTCAGGCCAGATCTTTGAGGAGCTAACTCTATGTACCAGTATCTCACCATGTGCAGGACTGCATGAGGCAGGATCATACCCTGCCAGAGCCACAGAACACTGCAGTCCAAGTTGCTCCAAAGTCTCCAAAGCTGCAGTCCCCCAGCCCCGCTGAATCATGGACATATCTTGCCTTGGCCACATCTGTGCCTGCACTCAGCTCTGCCTCCACACTGGGACACTCACCTGATTCACCCTGGCATGGCTCTGTCTCTTCTGCTGGGGAATATCTGCACTGCCAATCCTCAGAACATGTCCTTCTTAAGGATCAGGTGCCAAGTACTTAATATGGACATGTGGGATTGAGTGCGCCCTCAGCAAGTTTGTCAATGACACTAAGCTGTGTGGTTCAATTGATATGCTGGAGGGAAGGAATGCCATCCAGAGGGACCTTGACAAGCTTGTGAGGTGGGCTGATGTCAACCTCATGAAGTTTAACCATGACAAGTGCAAGATCCTACACCTGGGTCTGAGCAATCCCAGGCACAGCTACAGGCTGGGCAGAGAAGAGATTCGGACTTGGGATTGCTGGTCGATGAGAAAATGCACATGAGCCGGCAGTGTGTGCTTGCAGCCTAGAAAGCCAACCGTATCTTGGGCTGCATCAAAAAGAGTGTGACCAGCAGGTCAAAGGAGGTGATCCTGCCCCTCTACTCTGCTCTTGTGAGACCTCACTTGGAGTACTGTGTGCAGTTCTGGTGTCCTCAACATAAAAAGGATATGGAACTGTTGGAACAAGTCCAGAGGAGAGCCACGAGGATGATCAAGGGACTGGAGCACCTCCCATATGAAGATAGGCTGAGAAAGTTGGGGCTGTTCAGCCTGGAGAAGAGAAGGCTGCATGGAGACCTCATAGCAGCCTTCCAGTATCTGAAGGGGGCTTATAGGGATCCTGGGGATGGACTCTTCATTAGAGACTGTAGTGACAGGACAAGGGGTAATGGGTTAAAACTTAAACAGGGGAAGTTTAGATTGAATATAAGGAGGAAATTCTTTCCTGTTAGGGTGGTGAGGCACTGGTATGGGTTGTCCAGGGAAGCTGTGAATGCTCCATCCCTGGCGGTGTCCAAGACCAGGTTGGACGAGGCCTTGGGTGATATGGTTTAGTGTGAGATGTTCCTGCCCATGGCAGGGGGGTTGGAACTAGATGATCTTAAGGTCCTTTCCAACCCTAACTATTCTATGATTCTATGATTCTATGATTTTTCTTAGCATGTCAGAAAGCAACACAAATAGGATCATTTAGTCATCACGTTTAAGTGTGACATTATATTACAAGCAAAGGTATTTCAGGAAAACTAATCTATAACCCCGTTTGCAAGATTTCAGTACCTTAAAGTTCAGGATTGTTCAGTTTCAGGGACAGGTTTTTCCCACTTCAGAATAGCTGGGTCCATAACTAAATTCATATTCCAAAACATCACCATTCAGATTCATAACTGCAGGGTTCTGTGGTGTCTGGTTCAGGGGTCAGTTTAATTTGTTATCCATATTTCTTGGAAAAGAAAGGTCTGGTTAGGACTCCATGAAAATTCACTTTGTATAACAAAATCATGTGTATTTCAAGACTTTAAAGGAGTCAGAGCCAATATGGTTGCTTGACTTCTTTCAGTGTAAAAGCACTCTCTTTGATTATGCTACTCTGTAGGCATTTAGCTGCTGGTAGTTGTAAATTGAGCTCTTGCCCAGATTTTGATGATACAAACATTTCATCCAGCAAGATCCAATAGAGGTCTGCCATACCTTCTTTGTCAAGCAGGATACCACAGCAGTAACACAGTAAAAATTGTTTTTCATAACTTTGCTAGTATAGTAAATACGGTGGCCAATGCCAGAAACTACAGAAGGTCAACAAAATGCCTCATAAAACCCCCAGTTTTGTAACTGTAGATACCTTGAATGTTAATGTCCCAGAAGAGCTTTATCATTCTTAACCAAAGACCAGATAGATAGAATTCATGTGGGTAATATTTTTATCTATACAGATGTCTGATGTTTTTTCTTTATTTTATTTATTAATATCCCAGAGCTGAGTTTCATCAGATAACCACATGTGCATCAGCCAAGCATAAGATATGCTTTAGGCAAGCATGCTTTCAACCAGGCTTGAAAGAGAGGTAACTGGGAAAAAAGTAGTCATTTCTGATAAACAGGAGGTTAAACTAAGTTGTCTAGTTGTCAAAACAGGCTCAGAGCTCAGTGAAATAACTTAGCATAAAGAAAAAATTGTGCCTTTCTATTCCTTTTACACCTGCAGCCTTTTGACTGAGAGAATTCCTCAGTGTGAAAAAGTAAGTAGGAAGTAGCATATAACTCCAGTGCAATCTCCTGTTGAACACACAAATTTCCCCATTTCTGTTAAATAATTACCACAGAAGAGTATACTGGATAATGAAAGCACAGTCTTCTTACCATTTCAGTGGTGATGAGTCACCTGGCTTTGGTAGGAGAAAGATCAGTCCATAGACTCAGAGGCAAAGAAATCTGATGATGCTGAAGATAGCAATCTGAGAGAAGAAAAACTTATGCAGAGGAGCCTAGAAATATTCTCTTCGCCTGTTGCCCACAGAATATCTTCTTCATCTTTGCTCGACCTAGTGTATTTATACAACAGATTGATACATTAAATAATGCCTCCCTAATCTCCAGTTTATCCCCAACATATGGAAATAACATGCTTCCAAGTCCTAATTCACTGTTAATTAGGTTGAATTTTACAGTAAGAATTCAAGGAAAAACCTCTAATAAGGGTGTAGAAGTTTATCATTCACAAAACAGGTATCTAATATCAAATACTGCATAAAGTAAAATCTAGTGGTTTGATTGGAGGACCTGATTTGACTCACAACTTCTTGCCAGATTTTCTGTTATGTCTCTAGAGAATCAGTGCTTTGGGTGGCCAGAAAGGTCCACTGGCTTGGAAAGGCAGGGTGCTGCAGCAATGCTGAGTTGCTTTCCAGAACTCACAGCACAAGCCTAGGACCAGAGCTTCCAAAAAGAAATTGAATAAAGAGAAGTCAGGTCTCACCTCTCCTGCACCCTGAATTTCAGAACTTACATTTTATGTGTCAAAGTTGCATATTACAACCACCAAACTGTCAGACTTTGGCATCTGATACAACATGCCTACTGGGCATGTTTTTCAGACTCCACAAACTCACTGGGCAAATGAAGAATAATTTGTTTAACCATCCACACTTCTCCTTTGATGCAGGTATAATGAAAATCTCTGTTTCATAACAGAGAAAACGGAGCAATGGAAAAAATATCACCTACCTAAGGTGAGGAAACCAGCATCACAGACAGTGCTAGAACGCAGATTGTCTAATTGCTGGGCTGTGTTTTCCTAATTGCCAAATAAACCCACAACCCTGGCAGAAGAATGATTACGCCTTCATCACCATCCTGTTTACTCAACAATCCGGTAATAGAGCAATGGCTGGGAGAAAATGCATTTTGGTTTTGCAAAATTGTCTCAGAGATTTGACAAGTCCTCACACAGAGACCTGTAATGAGTTCAAACCGCTCTTAAAGTAAAACTAAAATCTGAAACAAACTTCTGAAAAGGAATTTGTGTCACTTTCTGATACAAACTGTTCATTTACGTTCCTTTAATGATCTGACTGTATTGAACCCAACACACAGAGCAACACATGCAAGAAAGCTCATTTACACTTCCAACTTTGTTTTTCCAAGGGATCTGTATTATTTACCTCCCAATTTCCTTTGCAGCATTTACAACAGGAGCTGTAAGCTAAATGTCTCGAGCAATAGATGGAAGATGAAAAGTGACCAAATATATTCAAGCCGATAATAAACAGAGAGCGTTTGTAGGTGAAAACAACCAGCTTGGCACAAGAGAGAGAGAGATAATGCAGTGGGTTTAATAGGAGGCTTTTAACGTTTCCTGTTCAGGATTGGCTGGCTTATTAATGATTTAAGCACAAATTGAATTAACCAAATATTGAACATATGTTCTTTTAAACTCTCTTAAATCTACCAGAGCATTACGCAAAAGAGCTATGCGGCCATGCTGTTGAAGTGGGGGGAAGGATGACAAGGGATATTGAGGGTAACTGGGTAAGTAAAACATAACCTGAAGGTGGTCAATTTAATGCTGTGTTAGTGGCCTGAACTTTAAGTTCCCAAAGGGAAAGGATGATTAATGCCACTACCAAATGTATACCCATACCTGACCCTGATCTCATCAAATCCTGCTGCCACCATCTGCTGTTTTTAATTCCTCTGCAATATTTGTATTTGCTACCTCCCTCCTACAAAGAGAGGGAGAAAAAAAAATGTTCCCTGCTTATGAATGGTGTGATCTGGTTGTACTGGCTGAACGCTGGCCAGGAGGCATCTGTTGCTTATAGTCCTGACAGCATCTGCTACTATTTCTCACTTTTCCCAGCATGCTGTGAGATATGGTTTCTCCCAAAGGTGGCCTTTGTATGCACCATTGTCAATTCCATCATTGTCTGCCACAGCCTGTTCCCACGATGCAGTGATAGTTATTACCATGCTGCAAAACCTTTTCTTGCAGGCTATCTGTAACCTAAGATATTGTGTGATTGAGTTATGCAGTTAACCCTTTTCCTATGCATCAAACAATTAAAATAAAAAGAAACAGGCTGGACCATTTTTAGAAGGAAAACCTTCAGGACTTGCAATAGATGGGAAAGTGAAACTTTTTTTTTTAATTATTTTTAATTTTTTTGTTTTAGAATAGCAAATTTGGCATTAACTACACTCAAGGTTTAAAAACAAACAAACAAAAAGACAAAAAGCAAAAGATGTCCTAACTAGCTGTTTTAATTCCTTTTAAAATACTATAAAGGATGCATTGTTTTTTCTCCTGATTCCTGATACGGCTATTAAGCATTGTAACCAAATGTGTGTGAATGCTATTATTTATGTGTCTGATCTTTAAATACCCTTTGCTAGTGGGATACAGACTGAGACTTCTGATGGACATAGGCGTCCCAAGCTGTCATCTTGGCCTTGTCCTTCTGTCAAACAGTTAGTGTGTCAAACGCTTCTCCTGGGAACTTTTAGGGTAAGAGACTGTAAGCATAGAACAGCCTGGTCTCCAGAGAGCAACTTTTAACTCACGACAATATCCTTGGTGTCAGCTCAGAATAGCCCACTATGGGGCAAGGAGAAAGAAAGCGCAACAGATGTTACTAGTAAAACCATGTTTACAATTCTGTAAAGTTATTGCCCTTATGTACCTTCTGACCAAAACCCACTTAAAAGATGGCCATGTTCCTAGCGGTTGGATTTTTAAGTCAATTCTGTTCAAGTAAATCTTCACATAGAGAATCAGAGCAATTAAAATAGGCATCACATCTCTCACGTGTATGTGCTCCTCCCATTCCCCCTAGATCATCTGTAAGTGTGGACTTTCAAATAACACAGTTATCACTTCCAGCCGTATTTATGGCAATTTCTATTTCTGTATACCAATTGTTATATCCCTCCTTATATATATATCCCTGAATAGCCCTCCTGAAAATACACAAAACATGGGTGAAATTTTATCTCCCCAAACGCATTCATATATCCTTTATCCTCTTTTTCTAACTCTTCTTTATAACTTTTCATTAATTTGTAGCTATTTATTACATACAGAATCAGACCTAAATCCCCTTAGATGTACTTCCACAATTTTGTAATAGTTAAAGTAAGCAAGTTATCTGGAAGCAATAATGGTAATTAGGGGATTTTTTTTAAATCTATCCTATGCCAAAATATTGGCCAAAAAATGGAGGGAAAAGAACCATGGAACTTGTGAAGAAGGATTTTAAAATTATGCCCCCCTCAAAATCCGCATCTCTCCTTCTGCCCAGTCCTGAGGATCTGTCGGGTGGTGCAATACAGCACTTGGTGACAGAGCAAATATCAAGGAAGCATTTACAAGACTACATTTGGTTACTGTTCCCCTGTTAGCCTCATTTCTGTTATATTTATCACCCCTATATTACATTTTTGGGGAGGAGGGCTTCTGTGGAAGGGGAATATTGTGTTATTTTATACCTCTGTGATTCCTATTTTAAGTGGGGTCTCATGTTTTTTCAACTGTGGTTTGACCCTGTCTCCTCTAATAATGACAAATGTAGTACCAGCATGGAGGGAACATAAAGACCATGTACTCTACAGAGGTACTCCTGTCTTCGGCACCAGCTCATCTTGCCTTCACACTTTTACTAGCTATTTAAAGTCCATTTTCAGTGTTATCATAAATTTAAATGAGGAATTCTGATTCAAAACCGTTTCACTTTGTGCACGTAAAAGTTTAGGGAGAATAAGGTACTTTACAGGCTAAGCCAGGTATGATGTTAGATAACAGATCTGCTGAGCTGCCATTGGTAAGGACTGTTAAAAATACGTTGTTGAATCCAAGAATTCCTCTCTGCACTCTGAAATCCTTTCTCCAGAAGCAACAGATAACAAGGAAAACCATGTCTGGGTGACTCACTTGCAATCTTCTATCTGTAAGGCAGGACGAAGCTGGGGAAGCAAAGAAAGTACCTAGAGGTGGACCACTGTACTTGTAGCTCCTGCTCTCCATGATGGCTGCAAATTCTGCACAGTTAGATTTTTGTGGAGAAATTTAAGATTTCATTAAAAAAAAAACAAAAAAGAAAAGAAAGAAGGGAGCATGTGCCTCTGAAGAAATCCGTAGGTACAAATTGTGTGTGATTATCTATAGATGGAAAGCGATAAAATTATCCCAGCAGCCAGATAACATGATTTGTAACAGAATCATTGAGCAGAATCACAATATACAAATGCTCTGAACAACACATTTCTAACTACAGATTGCACCCAAGTTGGCTGTGGAAGTGGAAGCTCAACTGCTGCAAACCTACCACCATTTCTGAGTCTGTAGTTCCCAGAGGCACTACCTCATCCTTTGCTATTTCTATTAGGATATAATATCCTTTACTGACAGCTTTTTTGCAGGAGGAACTGTGTGTTTATAATTTCCTGTAACAAGGTGAACCAAGGTAAAAGCTACCATGAAGGGCACTATGATCTCCCTGAGATCTTCAGTAAGATACAGCAAACCCCAGGTGTGAGGTAAGGAGACACAAAAGCACCGCGCCTTCAACAGAGATTTGCACACTAACGGCACAACATGGCTTAGGCAAGCCTCACTGAATATTTGTTCCTATTTCAGGTGAATCACAAGGGCTCTGTTGCTCTCCTTTGACTCTGCTCTGGTCTGGACGAGGAACAGTGGATATCTCCTGTGAGAGGCAGTGGGTGCACCCTGCCCCTCTGACACCAACAAGGAGCTCAAGCCTCACCAGGGCTATAAACCAGAAGTAGCTTCAGGCCTGCCAGCAGCTTCCCTCAATGAAAAGCAGCACTGGCACGTTTACATACAAGCATGTGTGTTTTCCTGCATCAGGAAATACTGTGAGGGGGCAGCAATATTTCTTTCCCTGTTTGTTACAACAGCACGAACAAGTATGGACAAAAATCCTTTATTATGGGTGAGCAGGGTATTTAGGCTAGGATCTGTTGCTCCTCTTCTCCCTCCAGCATTATTGTTAGCAGACCAGTTTGCAAACTAAACTCCTGCCATGTGCAGGTAGGTTTTGATAGC